AAAACGAATTTGTCAAGTTTGAATACCGATTTGGATTCGGATTTGAGTGAAATTAGTATGGTTGAACTTGTAATTGGATGGGCTGTAATAATTTGTAACTTTCCTTGGATTTCGATATGTGGGCCCCACAGGTGATTTTTGGGGCGTAATTTCGAATTTTTTGAAAATATTAGTATTTTGATATGGAATTAATTTCTATAATTTTTGTGGGCTGAATTAAATTAATTGTTACTAGATTTGAGCTGTTTGGAAGTTGATATGCGCATAATGGGATTTCTGGAACATTGTTTAGCTTGCTCGACATTGGATTTGGCTTGTTCGAGGTAAGTAACTCTTCTAATCTTGGAGTTGAGGGTATGAACCCTGAATATATGTATTTTGTGAATTGTTGGGAGGTGACGCACATGCTAGATGACGGGCATATGGGCGTGCACTATAGAAATTGTGACATAATTATTTCTGTGGAATTTTATAGTTAAATAATCTTGGCATTTTCCATGCAGTTTTATGTGTTAAAGAAATTGAGCTGAAAAGCATATTAAAAATCATATTGAGGTTATGTGCCAGTATTATTGGGACCCACAGAGGTCATATTGCTGTGAATTATTATGTTAAATTGAAAATTCATACTCAATCATATTCATTTCATTGCATATCATATCTCAGTCTCTGCTGTTATTTATTGATACATCATATCATCATTTTGGGCTATTTTTCATGACATTGTGAGCCCGAGAGACTGGAGAGATTGATGACTGAGTGAGGCTGAGGGCCTGATTTGTGAGGATATTTATGGGATCGGGCTGCACGCCGCAGCATGTTGCATATTTATGGGATTGGGCTGCACGCCGCAGCATGTTTGATATCGGCCGGGGGCCTGTTTGTGAGGATGAGTGTGGATCGGGGCTGCTCGCCTGCGGCATACTTTATTATTATAGCACGTGAGTTTTCCATGCAACACGTGATTTGTCTGTGCAGATTATAGTCCTTGGGCTGAAGAAGCCCCTCCGGAGTCTGTACACACTCCTAGTGAGCACTTGTACCTACTGCGTGCGAGTACCGAGTGCTGAGTGACTGGGAGGCATGGGTTATTATGAGGTATGCCCGAGTGGCAAGAGTGATTATGAGGTATGCCCGAGTGGCAAAAGTGATTGTGAGGTATGCCCGAGTGGCAAGAGTGATTGTGAGGTATGCCCGAGTGGCACGAGTGACTGTGAGGTTTGCCCGAGGGACTGTATATGAGTGATGTTCTGCCCGAGGGGCTGTTTATAATTTCATCACTGAGTTGCATCGCATTGTCATGCATACACGACATACATGCATAGAGATGTATTTTTCCTCATGCTGTACAACATCACATCATTCATGATTTCTCACATATATTTGACAGATTGGCATAGTGATGCATTTGTTTTATACGGGTTATGCGGAAGGAAAATGAAACATATTATTTATTATTGAAAGATTTTTTGGAGAAATTTATTGTTTTCAAACTATTCATATTATTAGCAACTTCAGCAAAAGATTTGAGTTTTCACTGATGGATTTGAAAGGAAGAACTATTACTTTTGAAATCATGATTTGGCTGAGTATTTTATCTCTGAGTTACTTCTGGTATTATTTGCTTTATGTTGTTATGGATTGTTGTGGACTATTGGTTTTGGACCCGACCTTGGTGGAAGCCCGTTACTACTTTTAACCTACGGCTAGGTTTGTTACTTACTCAGTATATATGGTCGGTTGTACTGATACTACACTTCTGCATATTGCGTGCATATGTTGGCTGTTGTTGTTGATGTGCTCGATGGTTGCGGGATTTGAAGATGTACCTGCATTCCTGTTGTAGCTGCCTCTTGTTCAGGGTAGCTTTAGATTTATAAAGCTTTGTTTATGTATTATTCAAACAGACTATGTATTTATTTCATTTCCGCTTTGGATACTCTATTCTTAGAAACTCATGATTTGTACTACTAGTTCTTGAGGATTGTATAAGATCAGGATCTTTATTCATTTAAATTGCTTTAAAAATTATATTGAAATTGGTTAGTTGGAAATTAGCTTACCTAACGGGATGGGTTAGGTGCCATCACGACTAGTTGGATTTTGGGTCGTGACAAGAGGAGAGGCGAGCATGCATAGAGAGGTATAAGGCAGCTAGGAAGGAGGCTAAGTTGGAGGTCACGGAGGCTAAGACTGCGGCTTATGGTCGTATGTACGAGGAATTAGGAAAAAAAGGTGGGGAGAAGAAGTTATTCCGGCTGGCCAAGTTGAGAGAGGGGAAGGCTCGGGATTTGGACCAAGTGAGATGCATCAAGGACGAAGATGGTAGAGTATTGATGAAAGATGCCCAGATTAAGATGAGATGACAAACTTATTTTCATAAACTTCTAAATGAAGAAGGTGATTGGGATATTGTGCTAGGCGAAATTGGAGCATTTCGAGAGTCACCGTGACTTTGGATACTGTAGGCGTATCGAGGTTGAGAAGGTCGTGGGAGCTATGCGTAAGATGAGTAGGGGCAGAGCGACCAGGCCAGACGAGATTCCGGTGGAATTTTGGAAGTGTGTGGGGAGAGTAGGTTTGGAGTGGTTGACTAGGTTATTTAATATTATTTTTAAGGCGAAGAGGATGTCGGATGAGTGGAGGTGGAGTATGGTGGTTCCATTGTATAAGAACAAAGGTGATATCCAGAGTTGTAACAATTATAAGGGTATCAAATTACTGAGTCATACTATGAAAGTGTGGGAGAGGTGGTTGAAGCGAGGGTGAGGATGACAATGTCTGTATCCAACAACCACTTCGGGTTCATGCCGGGTCGTTCGACTACAGAAGCTATACACCTTGTTAGAAGGTTGGTGGAACTGTACGAAGAGAGAAAGAAGGATCTGCACATGGTGTTTATTGACCTAGAGAAAGCGTATGACAAAGTTTCTAGAGAAGTTCTCTGGAGATGCCTATAGACAAAATGTGTGTCAGTTCCCTACATTATGGCGATTAAGGACATGTATGATGGTGCTAAGACTCGGGTTAGGATAGTAGGAGGCGCCTCTGAGCATTTTCCGGATCTAATTGGGTTACACCAAGGTTCTGCGCTCAGTCTGTTCCTATTCGCCTGGTGATGGACGCGTTAACACACCATATTCAAGGAAAGGTTCCATGGTGCATGCTATTCGCCGATGACATAGTTCTGATTGATGAGTCTCGAGCTGGTGTTAACGAGAGGCTGGAGGTTTGGAGACATGCTCTTGAGTCTAAGGGTTTCAAGCTTAGCAGCACGAACACAGAATACCTTGAGTGTAAGTTCAGCGCTGAGCCAGGGAAAATGGGCATGGATGTGAGGCTTGATTCGCAGGTAATCCCGAGTAGAGGCAGCTTTAAGTACCTTGGTTCGGTTATCCAGGGGGGAGGGGAGATCGACGACGATGTCACACACCGTATTGGGGTAGGATGGATGAAGTGGAGGTTAGCATCTGGAGTCATGTGTGACAAGAGAGTGCCACCGATACTCAAAGATAAGTTCTATAAAGCGGTGGTTAGACCGGCCATGATGTATGGGGCTGAGTGTTGGCCCGTTAAGAACTCACATATCCAGAAGATGAAAGTAGCAGAAATAAGGATGTTGCGGTGGATGTGCGGTCACACTAGGATAGATAAGATTAGGAATGATGATATTCGGGAGAAGGTGCACGTGGCTCCCATTGGTGACAAGATGCGGGAAGCGAGACTTAGATGGTTCGAACATGTTCAGAGGAGAAGCCCATATGCTCTGGTACGGAGATGTGAGTGGCTGGTTATGAAGGGCACGAGAAGAGGTAGAGGACGACCTAAGAAGTATTGGGGAGAGGTGATGAGGTAGGATATGGCGAGGCTCCAGATTTTCGAGGACATGACACTTGATCGGAAGATGTGGAGGTCGAGTATTAAGGTTGTAGGTTAGGAGGTAGTTGAGTCGTGCCTTACTTCGTACCATTGTGGGACTAGCCATGTAGAATTTTTGTCTAAGATAGCTAGTGGCAATGTTGTCTTAATATTTCGCTTTTTAGTACAGGTCCTATTTACTAGCTATCGCTTTTGCTTTGCATCTTTCGTTTGAATTTCATGGTGTTCCTATTTTTTTTATGATTGCTGCGGTGATACTAATATTGTCTCCCTTTGCTTTGCATCTTTCTTCTAGATTTCATGGTGTTCCTATTTTTCCTATGATTGCTGTGGTGATACTAATATTGTCTCATTTTGCCCTTTTGTCTTTTTGTTTTCTTGAGCCGAGAGTCTTTCGGAAATAGCCTCTCTACCCCTTCGGGGTAGGGGTAAGGTCTGCGTACACACTACCCTCCCCAGACCCCATTAGTGAGATTTCACTGGGTGGTTGTTGTTGTTGTTGTTATTTGTTGTTGGAAAATACAAGTTATGACCGGCCGTATGGCCAATTATTTTTAATCTATTTTAAATATTAAACTTAGCTTATGAGTGAAAAAAACTCAGTAAATCCACCTTTGTAAGTACTGATCACAACAATTTGGTGAAGTTATTTTCGTATGACCTATAAGTAACGGGTTTAAGTTGTGGAAATAGTCATTAAAGCTTGGGTACGACCCTTCCTCGAATCCTGCATGAGATACTTTATGCATCGGATATTTTTTTTTATTAGTAAAAGAATAATCTAGATGAAGAAATTCACTAAAAAATACTAGTAGAGAATATCTCAATTTAATTAAACAAAAGTCAAATACAAATAAAACCAATTAAAAAATTGAAATCAATGTGAAACTAAATCAGAAGGAATCGGGGTGCGACGTGGCAGCAGGAGAGGAGAAGCGGGAGTCGATGGCGCCCTTAAAAATCTACCAAGAAAAACTGCTTAAGTCCATAAAACCAGCCCCTCACTGTATACAAATTAATTAATAAACAATGAATGAATTAAACCCTCCACCACTCCCACAATATAAGTCTGTCTTTCCATCGTTTTCTCCATATAGTATAGTATAGAGTGAGGCAAGTGAACATAAAAAGGCAGAAATGACGGAAACTCCAAAGCAAGAAAGCACCATTGATTCCAGTGAGCAAGAAATCAGAGCTTTTTCAACACCTGGCTTTCCTCCCTCTTCTCCATCCGTCACACTATTTGTCCATTCTAACCGTTCACACTTAACAAAGACAAAGTGACAACTCCCCACCCACTTAGTAATTTTTATTATGATATATGAATCCGTTTGAAGTGAACCCCCTTCATTAAAGTTTGGAAATTTTCCCAAGTCCCAACTTCCCTTGCCCCCACAGTACCCCTATTTCATCTTTTGGCTCATTACATTACACTCTCTTTTTTACTTTTACTCGACGAGAGGAAAGAAAATAAAATAAAAAAATTAAAGGTTATCTCCTGAATGAGCATTGCACAAATGTCAATCGCATCAGTGCCATTTGGTAGCAAAACTCCAGACCCACTAATCTCAGCCAGTTTGATGATAATAATGACACTATCCTCCCACCCACTCACCGAAAACTCCCCCAATTTTCAATATCACAAAAAGAGAGGAACAAGAGCTTTTTGCAGAACCAGAAGCAGTATTGGTGGTGGAGTAGAAGGAGTTGATAATGGCGATGACCGAGGCGTATGGAGTGGTGGCAGATGGAAATGCAGCACTTGTTGCCAACACTATGAATGGTGTTTTTGAGGCTACTACTCCTACTCTCAATTTGAACGCTCAGCCTCATCAGACCACGAAAAGAAGTCGAAGCCAGAGGCGTAGGCGTTCTTCTATCAACTTTGCCTCTCTGCTGGATTTCCCATCTTTCCTTCCCCACGTGCCACCTCCTCCTCCTATGCCTGTCGCACGTGTATGCTCTCCTCTCACCTTTTTTACTTACTCTCTTGCTAATCACTTTTCTTCCTTTATTACTAGTACTAGTACTCCTTAATTTTTATCATCTCAACTAAATTACACTTTCCTTTTATTGCCATTTTAATTTCATGTTTTGCCCAAAAAAAAAAATATTCGCATCTCTGACGCTATATTTTAATTTGGAGTTGTTGCACTGTGAACTCCCCAGCTGCTGCTACTAGATCTTTCACTTCCATTTATTCCTCTCTTTAATTTTATATTCTTTTGGATTAATTCTCGAGATTTCGTTTATATGTTCTTGTTGGAGTTGTAGGAAATCAATTCGACTATCTGGTTGGCTTCTACTCACTATTTTTCTTAATTTGGGAGATCCTCTGCTCTATTTTTTGTTGGTTTTAGGAGTCCCAGTTGGACAAACTAATTAAAATAGTACTAATTCTGTATTGGTAATGTTGTTTAGTAAGTAGAAATAGCGGGTGCTAATGTTGTTTGAGTTTGACACACATTATTTGGCTTTGACTAAGAGATCCATTCCCTCCTTTAGCTGTTTCTCCCCATTAGTGTGACAAACTTCCAGTATAGCTAAATTGTATAATGGACACCTCACACCTCCTAAACATGTCAAGTGGGCCGGGTCCAACCCAACTACATGGCAATTGGGTGGGGCTGGACCAGCCCAATCCCCATTTTGCATTTAATCTCACAAAGAATTTCTCTAGTAATATCATGAAGTCCTTCACCCTGTACGCCTACCATATAAATTACAACTTCCAAATATTTTTGGATTATCTTTCTGTTGATTAGTCATCAAAAGGACTTTTTTTTTTCCCCCTTCTAATTTTCCTTAACTGGAATAATGAAAAGAGCAATGTCTTTACCACATCCCTGCTCTACCTTGTCTTTGCCTACCTTTTGTTCATGCTGCATTCATAAATACAATACTTATGCTTAACTTGGTAAAGAAAATTTAGTATTTGAAGCTTGGAGATACAATTTTCAGTGCTGCTTAGGGGATTACATATTTGTAGGTTCTGTTTATTTTGGATTTTAACCTAAGAAAGAGTTCCCTGTGAAAATCGAGATTGAAAATTTGAGGGTCCAATATCCGGGACGACCTTATGTCGTCACGTTTGCAACAGTTGGAAGAAGACGAAGAGGCTAAAATAGCTCCTTAATTTGAAGAATGTAGCATCTTTGCCTATAATGGCACTTATGTAAGAATTAAGATCAAGCTACACTTGAGATAATTTGAGATATTAATGAAACAAATTCCACGGTATTAGATTAAGTATCTAAAGCAATAAGATATATATTCAGTTATAGATTTCCTTTATCCGGAGAAGAAAAATGTTCAAATCACTCAATGCAACTATGCAAGGTGTAGAGTGATATGGCAATTATACATTCTTCTTTGAATGATTAACTACATAGTAATACACTAAAAACTTGCCTAGTTGTCTAGACGCTTGACCAGATGATACATCATTGAATGATATACGGCAAGATTAGGAAGATGATGGTCAACTAAGACCTTGGAAACATTAAAGCAAAAATGATTTTTCACAATAAAACAACTATCATCAACCAACTTGCTCAACGAGAAGACGAAGCATTAAGTAATGCTCTAAATAAGTTTTTTTTCGTGGTCAAAATGCTCTAAATAAGCATTAATTTAAAGGCGAAAACCACAAAGATTAAAGGCATTCCAAAATGAGCAAAAGTCTGTAATTGCAAACCAGCACAGATTTATAGCTTAACATGATAGTAACCAATTGATACCTCCGCAGTATTGAAGCACATGAAGAGAATAAATTTTCATTTCAAGAATTTCTTCTTCTTGCTTTACTAGAATATTAAGCATTAAATAAAGTGCCAAATTCCAATGGCTAATGGAAAATGATGCGGCTATCCGCCAATCAACTGCATTAGTTGTTGTGCGAGTTTTCTTCCCCTATGAGCAATACTCTATTAAGATCAATGGATCTCATCTCCCATCATCAAAGCGAGACTCCAATTCATATTTGCTAGATCGGCAATGTTGAAGTACGTGGAAAGAAGACATTTTCATTTCATGAAGATGAATAGATAAAGCATAAATGATGCATTGGCACTAGAGGTTGATAAGAAGATGAACAAAGCAAAATTTTTCTCAAAAAAAGAAGATGAACAAAGCAAGCTGGTTCTTTCTACTACCAGCATGATTTAAGAGGAAATGTTTTACTGAGCTCCCAAAAAATTGTCGATCTTGTCTCGACGTGGAGATCAGAGGACACACTTATTGTTCACCTCTAGTTTGATATGTTTCTTTCCAGTTATATGATCAACATGATCAGTCGGTAAGACAACAGAGCCCTTGGCCGAATGACAATTTCAACATAGGAAAGGAAGAGTCAGCATTCTGGTGAGCCAGCTAGTGGTGTGGTATATATTGAGTTGTTTAAGCTGTTAATTAAATTAGTAAATTGGTAATATAGCTGCAAAAGGAAAGCCCATTATGGTCCTCTAACTTGTGAGAATTGAGTACCTGAGTAAAAACTAGTCAACATAGCCTACCAACTACATCGTGTCTTGAATGTCTTCTCACAAAGATCTTAAAGTAACAAAGATGCCTAGCATATATTATTTGATGTCTTTTGGTTGAAAGATTGTGTCATCTTTGGAGTTTGAGATCATAAAAAGTGTGATCATAAAAAGTGTGATAAATGAGCCAAAATGACAATGATAATTATTACTCCTCCATCCCAATTTATGTGATAATATTACTCACTGACTCAGTGCGGAGAGAAAGAAAGACTTTTGGAACTTATGGCGTAAAATAATCCATAGATATTTGTGTGGTTATAAATCATCTCATTAAGATAAAATGAGGAGTTTTAAGTCAAATATCTAAATATAGAAATATGTCATTCTTTTTGGAATAGACTAAAAAGGAAATACCATCACATAAATTGCGATGGAGGAAGTATGTACTATTCACTAAACAAGTGATCCTTTCCTTTTCTGGATAGAAGTAGACATCAGGTTGGCGTGACTGGTGAGCAAATTATATCAGAAACTTTATAAAATAGGGAAGATCTTTTTATGCCATATAAGGATGAGGATACTAGACAACCCTTGCAAGAAGGCATAATTATGTACACAACGTAATCTCCTCGTTCTATCAAACATCGCACATATAACAATAACTCCATCGCAAACCCAACCCTTTTGTGTAAATTGTATTGCTAGATGTAGCTATGTAGCAACAAATACACCTCAATCCCAGCCTTGTTTGGGTTGGGTGTATGATTCTTCTATATTATTCCACTCTTATATAGGTCCATTTCTTTCAAATACTTAATACTTTTCCTTTTTAGAAAAAATTTAGGAGTTCTTTAGAACTAAAGATTTTTCTAGATCTCATACTTATCCTTACACTAACATACAAACTTCTAATCAAACTAGAAAGTATATGAATAGTGTTGTTTCAAGTATCCAATCATCTCCTATAGATAACTCACTAAAATTATGGTGGAATCCTAGTAATATATATCGACATAAAGTACTTGTGTTGAGGCTTGTTAAATTCTATCAATGGTTATATATTGGGTGGTGCGAAAAATATTGATAACTATAGTTTAGATATAATGCCAAAAGTAGTCGGCTTGAGCCTTGTTGCACTTCACTAGTCGTAAGCCTTGTTCCATTATCATTCAACCCTTGAACAACACAATTGAAATCATCTAATGTCTAAGACGTATTTGAAAAAGTGCAAAGAAATAATTATCCTTTATTGAATTTTTTGGTAAAATCCTACTGTCAACCAGCCAAATTAGAATTTAAATTATAATGAGAGGCTGCAAGAACTTTGTTTTAGAAATAGCTCTCAGACTTTATAGTTCTGTCTCTACATGCTACCTAAACTGTAGGTATGTGGTGGATGTGTGACGTTTGTGGTTCTTTGTGCACCTGTCCCAGTAAAAGAAGACCAAGTGATATGCTTTCGTACCAATCATGGCTTCACTTGTCCCTGATGGATTTGGGTTTATGGTCATTTGGACTGTGTGCATAAACTTAGTTGCTAAGTTAATCAGGAAACTAACTTCTAAGGGATATTGTCTACCAATCAAGCGAGGCCTCCAACTACTTTGCAACCTAACTGAGTCATATCTTGAATTGCAACTAAGAATTTTGTTCTCTTTTAACAAGAATTTCTTACTATGAAGATCATTAAAGTAAAAAGGAGCTCTTAAATGACCCATATCCAGCTTATGATCTTCCTAAAATTGTGTGAGTGAGATAGCCTTGGAAGGCAGAAATTTCATGTACCTGTTGTCACATCCTCTGGAAGAAGGTAACGAATTGGGACATAGTCGGATTCCCTTCAATGAATAAGGAAAAACATGAAATAATACCTTATGCGATTCCACATATAGCGAAATGATACAGGGTGATCCAATTCGTTGGAGTGTTACGTGGACTATGGTATAAGTACTTGATATGGGTATCTTAAAATCTGTTTTATATGTGGGCACTTCATAAAAGACAATGAAGCTCAAAATTTGATCATTCTGTTGAAGCTAACTAATTGCAGTGAGTTCTAAAATGTTTGATATGTTTGATGCTTATTTATATATAGCAATGTAGTTCATTACATTCATTCCCCTCTTTTTCTGGTTAACATACATTTTCCTTGTCATCCTCTGTACCATCTCTTAAAAGAAACTAGCATTTTGTCTTGTGATCACGATTCAGCTAAGTTTGGCTCTGGATACTAGTAAGTCCTGTAACAGCTTGTTTATGCTTCAGGCACTTGAACCAACGGGGTTCAGATTTCTCTTTGACAAGCAGCTTCAGAACAGTGATGTTAGCTCCCTAAGGAGAATTGTCGTGCCCAAGGTTTGGACTTTTTATAGCATCATTGTAAATGCATTAAGACCACTTTCTCTTGTGCTTACTTTTTTTTATTTTGAGTACACATTGAAGTGAATTAATGTCGCAATCATTTAAGATTTCCAAACTAATGATTTAGCAGTTGTCCAATATTGTGTATGCCATCCATGGTTATTCAGACAGTCTGCGGCTGATTAACTTATATGTCATGATTAATTTCAGAAAGCAGCTGAGCGATATCTTCCAACTCTTGAGATCAAGGAAGGGTTTCCCATAACCATGGATGACATGGATGGCATCCATGTCTGGAGTTTCAGATACAGGTCTGAGGTTTTTTTTTTCTTTTTTTTTTTTAAATTTACTTGAGGGAACGATATTTCTAAGCTAGTGAAGCAATATAGATTGAAGTGTCCGGGCGAGGATGTGAAGACCAGCATATTAGATAAACGCAATTAAACTATTTGATGCTGGTCATCCTTGAGCTAGATGACATTCTTAATACCTCGCATTGTAGTGATATTTTGCTAGTGCCTTAACAAATTGGTTGATTAAGTCAACATTAAGGAGGAGCGCGCGCGGGGGTNACTTTGTCCAAACACATGGATTGCGCCAAGGAGACTATTTTGCCCTCCACTACAATGATCAGAAGCAGATCTATGTAAGCTTGCTAAATTTTAATTCTTATGTTGTCGGTGTAGTTACTTCAAAGGTTATAAATGTATGTCGGTTGTCAAAGGCTATGGTTTGTTGTGACCTATATATGTGGTCTGTTCGTATATAGGGCATCGAAGCAAGGAAAGCTGGAGATGGGGCAGTATTTCGTGGTTATGAAGCGGAGGACATGATTTTAACTGATTATGCACAGGCGGCAGATGATGGGAATGGGGTGCTTATGAATGAACCAGAGTTGGATATGTCCAGCTTTTACTTCCCTGCAATGGACAATGAGATGGGCATGTCCTTCATTTATGATACCAGCTTCTGGAACGAGCCTGCCTTCGATTTTGTAGGGGGTCCAATGACCTATTACTCAACTAATGTGTTCCCGATGCCAAGCTTTGGATCCATTGAAGACAGCTTCTCTGTTGATGATTTCTATTAAGGTCTGCACGCGCATAGCGGAATAGGAGGATACATACTATTAATCCCGTGCAGCCTTGTAATATGATCCATACTCCTACAAGTAACTTTGAAGTAAAAAGCTGATACTCCAGTTACCAGCACAAGGAACTAAGGTTTCTGTATTTTGGTTTTTTGTAAGGAAGGGGCTGAGACTTCTGGGGTGTTTTGTACTTTTTTGGCTGGCTTCTGTTGTCAAGTTTGGATCAAAAACTCTTTACCACCGTAAATGTAATAAACTGGAGACCTAAGAAATGGAAAAATATGAAATAAAAAGGTGCATAGTTCGGGCTTATAATCTTGCCATCAAGCTTTGTTTGATTTGTCATGTTTAGAAACCGTGCTCTACTCTTAGCATAATCCCTACTAAAACGTTTGTGTTGTCTAATGAATATTTTAAAGGAAAGGCAGAGGTGTATAGCAATTATTTTGTTACTCCGGCTTGTAGATTTTGTCACTACAGCTTTTCTCAGTCTAAGAGGAGTTTTTCATAGTTTCCCCTCATTTTGTTCTGTTTGGCTCAAGCTAAGAAGAGGTTAGGAAAAATTAGGTGCGAAATGAACTTCGTACCTCATCAATATAAGATAATAGTTCTATCAATAAACTTCCAGTCAATTGACGATATTTCTTTTTTTACGTCAATAACTACCCTCAGTTATCCGCAGAGGAGGTTGCTGTTCGCCCTCTTTTAAGTCTGAAAAGTATCAGAGAAGTGTAGTGGTGACCTGAGGTCACCCACAGCTGACCAATATTACATATAAGGCACTCAATTTGGTGTTACTTAGATTCGGTAGTTGATCTTTCCTTCATTTACGGATCCATATATCAACTGCAGCACAAAACTCACAAACAGAGATGGCGTGGGTATGGGGTGTAGCAGCAGTGTCTCAAAACTCGCTCCAGTAACAATGGGATTTGAAAAAACAAAAAACAACAGAGCAATAAAAGAATCATCCTTCAGCAGCTATAGCTCGGCACAAAATGAATAAGGCAAATATATAGCCCCAAATATGCTGGTTATTCCCATCCTCGAGAGGGAACAGCGTTTCTAGCATCAAATTGATTTTGTATCTATTCTAACAAAAAAACATCCGCAATGCTTAAGTTTTAGGGGGACTCCCCCTCTCCAAAATCTCAAAATTAGAGAAATATAAAATTGTCAAGATTGTTGTGTAAGAATATACTCTCCAGCTTACTAGGAAAGATCACTAGAGAAACATCGGCAATCTGTGTTTATTGTTTCATCTGGAGAAGTCTTCTCTTACTACTTCTAGGCTTGGCGAAGAATTAGTTTGTACTCGACCCTACACCTTTGCAACCTCAGAGGCAGCAGGTGCAGCAGGAGCAACTCCTCCAGTTGTTGGCCTGAAATCGCATCAGAAAAAATAAACCAAACATATTTATTAAGTTCTCAAAGTAGACTGATACAGGAAATGTAGACAGGTTTAGAATGTCCAACAAAGTGTTAGAAGAAGACACTTACAGCCCAACAAAAACCTTGAAAGCATCATAGATTCCCCATTGTGCACCAGTAAGAGTTCCAATCATGACAATACGCAGAGGTAGCCCACGGGTAAAGAGACCCACTACTCCTATCTTCTTCACGGCCTGAGGAAATAGTTTTTTGTCAGAAACAAATGGCGGGTTTCACGTGACAGATTAATGACTTGAGGGCATTTCAAAAAATAAGAGGCGCAAAAGAGAGATGGCACAACAAACGATAGAAGCTTCGAAACGCTTACATCACCAACAGTTGCACCCTTGGCATTGTTGAGGAATGAAACAAGATTGTCAGCAGGATGGGATACAATAGCACAGAAGACACCGGCAATATATCCACCAGCAAAGCTAATACCAAGTTGCATAGATTTGCTGCACTCATTTTTAGGCTTTGGGACTGCATGCTTGTAGATCAACTCCACAATAGTCTCAAAGGACGCAAACTTCATCATTGTATCTGCAATTTACGATGTTTAATCCTTAATGTCCAACAACAAATAGTAACTCAAAACAAAGTCAAAATTGCAACATTGCAGGATTATACTTTTATTTGTGTCGTGCAAGTAGAAAAAGAGAAAAAAGATAGATAAAAGACCGAATTAAGAAGGAAAGCTTTAGTAGAATTACTAGGATGACTCTACTTGAACCAAAAATGGGCCTCCCTCTAAAACCTACCAAGAGCAGAAAACATCATGACATGGACCTTCCCAGCCCTTAATCTGCATTGCTTTAAATCACAGCTATAACAGCAAAAAGGTTCAAAAATTCTTACCCTCGAATCCTACTGTATTCCCGAAGAGTCAGAGCATCTAAACATATGAATAGAAGGGAATGTTATCAAAGAATTGAGCTAGATTTTCCATCATCGAATATCCAACCTCACTCTAATTTACACATTTAACTTAAATCGCCAACCTCCATCCAATCATACTCCAATCCGAGCCCTATTATGTCCCCTTCCTCCCAAAGCTTCTGCTCTCACTCTGATTGCCCCCTTCCACTAGTCCTGTCCTTCCCCTTTCATTCCCCAAGCTCCCCATAAAGTTCAATACCCAATTTTGTGGAATAGTATGTTAATGGCCAACAAGCATATTAAATCTTGCAATGTACTTAGATCATAGGCTTACGTGCAATATTTTGTCTTCCAAAGAAAAATGCAATAAGTTCTTAATATAAAGCAGAGCATTTCAACAAGTGACCCTATTTACTTGGCTTGAACAAGTGAAGGTGCTTGAGAGCTAACTTTCTAGCTTTCACCTAACCAAAAAAGGAAGCCATTACCAGAACGAGAAAGAGACGAGAAATTTCCATCAGCTATGACAATTTTTTTGATGAAGTCCATCAGCTATGACAATTAATTACTGCTGCATCCAAACATAAGCCCTTATCTAGCCATCTCCAACTTCCAGGCCTTCTGGGGCTTATTGGATCCTAATTATAGAAACTCTTGCAGTTCTAAGTAAGGTGACTGTCCGCATTTAATAAACATACATGGAGAAGGAAATCTCTCTATTTGTTTTATTTAACAGAGAAATGAAAAGTTAATTTTCTCAAATAACTATTCCATCGATCTGTTTTGGGGGTAGCGAGGGGAGGTCCCGCATTTGAAGTTTCTATTGTTTTTAAAGACAGGTCCAACTAACAGACCCTAACTTTTACGAATTCTAGCAAACGCCAAAACGCTTCTCACTCATTTGGGTAATCATATGGTTATCAAACCCCTAGTCGCATTATTAAAATATCCCAGGTAATAAGCAAGTTAGTAAATAACAACAAGCAGAAGAAAACAGATGGTTCCACTTACATGGAATCTGACGTCCCCAAAGAGGAACCAAACCTTTGTACAGGCTGCAAAAATATAACAATATTAAAATCTGTTCTATAAGGTACAGATTAAGGAATGTGCTAACAACAATGATAATAGCATACCCCATGGTTCCTTCAGATCTTACAAATTTCGGTAATCCATCTGACAATCCCCTAGCAAAACCAGGCTGTGTCTGAACACGGACTTTTACAGCTTCAAATGGGCAAAGAGCAATGTCTGCAATCACTTCTGCAGATGCAGAACCAGCAAGGTATATCAGAGTTTTGTACTTTGCAGCATTTTCTGCTCCAGCAAGGTCAGAGTAGTACTTCTTGAAGAATTCATAGAATCCGAACTTGCATGCACCCTGAGCACTGTAACCCAAAAGAGTAGGAACCCATCCCCTGAAGAAGCCCTTAGCACCTTGCTCCTTAAGCAGCACTCCAAATCCAGATGATATGCTCTTGTATTTCGCGGGGTCAATCTAGGAATTTATGAAATTTCAGTCAGTTTAGATGCTTCATTACTAATGCTCGGTAAGAAAATAGAAACAATTTAATTACTAAGGGAAATCACACATGTAGACAATCATCCCATAGTTAAGAAAAGTAAAAGGGGAAGCTAGCAAATGAGAAACTATCCCATTGGGAAGGAAAGTCAGTACAGTAAAAGATCTAGGACCATTACGAGCACAATGCCCAAACATGTAAAAATGAAGCTCTTTAATCACAAATCTAAGAAAAAGTTATCCAAGTTTTCAAATGTCATTTCCTCAATCTACATGAAAACCTTAAGCTAATGCTTCAGAGAAGACTGTTAAGCAATAATACCACGGGTGACTGAGTAGGATTGTTTAGCAAGGTTCAGGGTTAAAAAGCACCGAGACTAAGACTATAATAGCAGAGAGTCCAATACATTCTCGTGTTGACAAACTGCTCGATCATAATCAGCAAAAGTGACATGTGAAGGATGAGATGGGAAACAACCAAGTCTGAATAGTACTCCTTCCCCTTTCCATATATCTAAAGATAATACAAATCAAAATTAAATGAAAAGGCCGCCCCGCTTCCTTGCTTTGAGACATGTAGAGGAACATTTCACATTTAAAATCATTCAAACTACACACATGATAGACTAAGATCTGAAATAATAATTTCCAATTAAATCTTAAACAAAATAATAACGCCTCCTCCTCTATACAGAGAAATCACCACTTCAACACTTTTGCCAATAAAATCAGTCCTGCTAGTCACGTTAAAAATTTAGATCTAGAACACGCACAATAATATTCGAGTAAGAAGAGTATAGATCGGATCTACACACACAAAAGGAGCATATAATAATGTTTAAAATAGTTGAGAAGTCAACGATCGCGTCACAAATGGACAGATCTGAAATGCAAAGCGTAAATGAAATTGGATCGAGACCTGCATGTTACATTTGACGAGATCAAGAGGAGTGACAGCCATGTGAGTGAGACCACAGCTGAGGATACCACCGAAGGTACAGGCAGCATAGAACTGCGGCGAGTACATCTCAATCTTTCCAGGTTCGCTAGGTGCAGGAATCACGAAGCTCTTGTTGGTGGACGACGGCTGTGCAGCGGGCAACACGCTGGCGGTGTTCTCGGGAACAGCAAAGGTTTTGGGAGTGAAAGAAGAAAACGAAGATGGAGTGTAGAGGAAGCTTGGAAGAAGAGACTGACGGCGTGAGTTTTCCATGGCGAAATGAGTGTGTGACGGCGCAGAGAGAGAGATCGGAAGCGAGGAGAAATGGGCGAGGGCAAAGTATTGCAGAGGACTGAAAACCTTCTCCTCTCGCTCTCCGAATAGCTCTTTGGACCTAATTCACAAACAATAAAAATTTCCACCTTTTTATACTGACTAATCAGCCATGCTCTTTGCGTTATTTACACGGAGTGACCAATACAGTGTGTACCGGCCCTAGTGTCTCAATTTACCTTTATGCCCCCGCAATAATTTGTTTCTTTCCTAATCAAATCACATGAGCCGTTTATCATGCCGTCATTTTTGTGTTAAATAAAAGACAGAATGATCTAAATGACACCTATATTTGTGTCAATTCATCGTGCCGGTTCTTTTACTTCATTTTTTTTTTCATTCAGACATTTTAATTTGTTCAAAATTTATATTTTAAACCCCTTTGACTGTGTGTATCTCACTTGCTTGACGTTGATGACACATCATATTCCACGTCACTTTTTATATTTTATCTATTAAAACACTTATTATATAATATTTCCTTAAAGAAAAAGAAGAAGAAAAATCAATGCCTCCATCTCATCTATCTTCCCTCAAATTCACAAATTTCTTCTTCCTTGCCAATCTCATATCCCTTCTCCATTCTCATCTCCCTTCTCTGTCTCATTATTTCGTCGATAAATGGTCATTTAGGTATTTTTTACTCAAATGATAAAATTGGTCAGGCCAAGAAAGTGGTTATTCATGCAAATGATCCAAAAAATTTTGAACCAGGAGAGAATTAAACCGAATCTTGAACCTGGATCTTTGTTGAAGATTGACTTGAATAATGATTGAGTTTGTTTTTGCTTTTGAGATGTAAATATATGAAAATGTGCTAATGTTATGGTGATCTATGAAGATATAAGAAAAAATAGGAGAACGGAGAATGTGCTAATGTTATAGATGTCATTTAGGTTATTCTGCCTAAATAAAATACGTCACATTTTACCAAATTAATTTTCACCCTTCGCCTGTTAAAAATGAAATTTTTTTTAATGACCAAGAAATTTGTTCTGGGCAAACCCTTAGGATCAATCGCAGTCTTCGAAACTCGAAATGATAGACTCACACTCTACTTTTCTCCACTTAAATATTATGCTTAATTCGCTTAAGTCTCGAGCCCCTCAATCTTTGCCTCTTGAACAAGCCTTGTAGCTACTAAAAATGAATAATTATTTCGTCTTTTACATGCAACCTGTCTAAATCTGTGCATGACTAACTAGATGAGAATTTTGTTTTTCACTCTCTACGAATAAATAGATGTAGAGATATCAAAGGAAATATAAAAAATACTTACAGGGAATAAACAACGATTTCAAGTTGAACTGCTTCTCAACTTCCACTTATCATTTAGTGAGTCTTAGCACAGCTAGCCTACTCTTTTCTTCTCTTTCATTTCCTTCTTGTCCCAAGCCTTAATCGAACTTACTTCATTTTGCTAAGCTAGGAAACTTAGTTGCATTTGTGCGGTGTATATACTGTGATATTTGTGGTAAAAAAGGTAAAATTCAGAAGGCTAGCCAAGATTGTATTCTTCTAAGTGAATGAGGTCGGCTCAATAATTGAGGGCTCAGCAATAACAACAAAATCACTATCTACATGGTAACGAGATGGATTAGTTAACTTAATTGCATATATGTTTTCATCTCTCTTTTGCTTGAATACTAATGAAGTGTGTCGCGCGAAATAATCTTTTCCAAGGCTCACTCAACGCAATTGTTGTTGATGAAGCAGGTCTCTGCACTGGATTTTTTGACCCCCAAAAGTAAAAAAGAGTAGGTAGAATAACAGTTGAGCAAAGAACAATGCAAGTATGGGCATGATGGTAAATTCAAATGGAGGACCTCAGCGGTATATTCCCTTGACGTGTTGCATCGGGAGAATCAATACAGTTATTCCAATTGGAGCACTCACCCACCAAATGCATTTACACGGCCACCTTCAAGTGTACCACTTGGAAATATTTCTTCTTAATATATATATATATATA